CCTGCTCTTGTGTCTCTGTGCTTCTGTAACATAAAGAACGAGCTGACATTTTTCTCACGAAACCAGCGATCAGCTCAACAGGCCCTCAGTTTACCTGCATGCATCCTCCTCCTCACCTGTCAGCTGTTTAACACCTGCTGCTAATTCAAGAAACACGCCCACGTTACCTGGTGATAGTCACAGTTTAACTGGGAAGCCGGTGCTCAATATAGCGTCAGCACAAGATAAGTAAATATAGTTTTTCCCGAGCGCAGAGCTGCTGGAGCTTGTTTCCCAACAGATCACTTTATAGGCGAACCCACTTCATCAGCGGCTGATGTCCAATCACAGCTTTGAAACCTCACCTGAGTTTTAGCTCTCAGTGGTTAAACGCTGGACTTAATTCACTCAGGTTTTGTCTGTCGGGTCACGTTTACTTCGCTGTTTTATTTACAACTGAGCAAATCGGTTTGGCTGAGGTTAAAGTTACGTTTCAGAACTGCACAATTTTACAGACGTTTAATGGTTCACTGGTACATGTGTTCGACTGAACTATTCGCTTTTCTTTATCTGGTGTGTTTTGGATTTAGCAGTGAATTTTGAGATTAAACTGACTTTTTTGACATTCCATATGTGGAGGGACAGTAACTGTGTGTATATGTAAGCATTTAAACACTGCAGAGAGTAACAGTAACAGTATTTTGTGCAAGTCCGCCATTGTAGAAATTCATTTCACCGAGACGCAGTGTGACGTCAAAAAAGGCGCATACCTTTGACGCTGTGTTTTCTTTTCCTCGTCCACACGTGAATGCAAAAACGGAGTTTTCGAAAATATCCACACTGGCAGGCGTTTTTAAAAATCTCAGTTTTTAGTGACCGAAAACTCTGTTCACGTTTGGACGAAAGGTGCAAACACATAGAAAAATCTGCATTTTCAAAAATACATGTGTACATACATACCCAGGTACATGTGGAAATAGCCTTATTGTCATTTAAAATATCTAGCTTTTAAAAAAAAATTATCTGAAATTTACAAACTATTAATACATTTATACCATCAAGACAGTGTACATCATTGTCACAACAGCGTTTGTTTTCATTCAAAGGCTTTATGAGTTTTCCTATAATGGCGGCCGGTCTCTAGTCAAAATGCCCGGGCCAATTTTTTGTCCCAGTCCAGCCCTGTATGCAGCTCATCTGCAGTCTGGTGTTACCAACATCTTCCTATTCCAAAGGCAGAATTTCTGAGTTCTGAGTACAATCAAAAGCACCATGACTCATCATCATTATCATTATTATTATCCAGTTACAGAAGCAACACATTAACAAGAGAATTCTGAATAAAACCAAAGTTACTTTCCCTAGTAAGTAGTAACTGAGTTACATTACTAGTTACTTCTATCAAAAGTAATTAAGTTGCTAATTTAAAGTAACTTACCCAACACTGCCAACCACTGATCAAAGACCATGTATCAATGGTCGTGGGTTAGCTCTGAGAACAATTAATATTTGCATATTAATGATCATGAAACTGACCTCACAGCCCATTTTTCACCAGTGGTTCTAGTTTCCGTCAATGCGTAAATGTACTATTTATAATACTGAGAAAACCTGCAGTCAGCTGAGACTGAAGAAGTCACTTGGATGAGTGACAAAATGTTTCTCCCACTGAAAACACCACGTCCAGATGAATATAATCATATTTGGGGGATTTCCTTGCCTGGATGATTGAGCATGCATCAAGAAAAAATAGGAAGTGAATGAAGGACAAAAGAAATGTTTCCAGCTCTTCCTCCTTTATCAGGCATTCTCTCCATACCTAAGAGTGTCCAGTCTCCAACGTGGATCCTTTTGTCCAGCTGACAACAGCTCCATTCCCGAGTCCCCTGGATGATTGTAGCTCAGGTCCAGCTCTCTCAGATGGGAGGGGTTGGAGTTCAGAGCTGAGACCAGAAAAGTACAGCCTTCCTCTGTGATTAGACAGCCTGACAGACTGCAGACACACAAAATAACAAGCAATCTGTGAACGACAATTTTATGGATGGCTGATACAACAACATCCATTTCCATCCATTATATTTAAAATGACTTTATTTATAAGATAAACTAAGTGGAGAGGAGAAAAAAAAGTTAAGGATATGCGGTAGTGACATATAAAAGCATCAGCAACAAAAATCAGTGTGCGCCTGTAGCAGCATAACTAAGGGATGGTTCAGGGTCAACTGATCCAGCTCTAACTATACGTTTTATCAAAAAGGAAAGTTTGAAACTGATCTTAAGAGTAGAGAGGATGTCTGTCTCCTGAACTCAAACTGGGAGCTGGTACCACAGCAAGTTGTCCTACTGTGAGAGAGAGTTCAACACGCGTATGGGTAAAGACAATGAGACTTGGATGGGTGTGATTTTGAGGAACAGCCTAAAGAGAGGGGCTGAGGTGTTAACTGATCACCACCTGGTAGGCTGTTGGATCAGATGGCGGGGAAGGATGCTGCACAGACCTGGCACACCTAAACCTATAGTGATCTTGCCCTAAGAACACTTGGCAGAGGCCCCGGTCTGTCTCTTTAACCCCCACCTGTAGCAGAGCTTCTGAGGGCGAATGGGGACATTGAGTCCGAAAGGATGATGCTCAACACCTCCATTGCCAAAGCTGCTGCACTGAGCTGTGGCCACAATCCTTAATTTTTTATCTACAAGGGCCTGATATTAATTTATGACATCATACTGCCACTGTTCTATCAAAATTTAAAATGAATGTCCATATGTGGATTTTATTTTTCTCAGAAACAAAAATTAGGTACAAAAAACAAACAAACAAAAAAATTATCTGGCAATTCTTTGTTTTTACATTCATCAGGTCCCAATCTCCCAAATAGCAAAGAGAAATTAAAAATGCATGCCATGACAGAGTTTGGGTCTTAGGAGATTAATCCCCCCACCTGCCCAACCAGAAACCTTTCTACCGGGTGCACTGCACTGATTCATGTTTATAAGCTACCACAGTGGTTCTCAAACTTTTCACAGTGAGTACCACCTCTTGGCTCTTGAAGTATCACCCTTATGGTGCTTTTTGTGCAAAGATATAAATCACATTTTAAACGATCCTCTGTGGAAAGATTTGAATCCTGACCTGAGAGTTTCAAGGTTACATTGTGGACTCTGCAGTGCAGCAGACAGAAGCTTCACACCCAAATCCTGCAGGTTATTGTTACTCAGGTTTAGCTCTTTCAGACTTGAGGACTGGGAGCTGAGAACTAGGGACAGAGCTTCACAACTTCCCTCTGACAGGAAACATCTACTCAGTCTGAAAAAAATATGGAGAACACAACAACTGTGTTAAAGTGTAATCGTAGTGAAGTGAGAAGTTATGAAATGATACAACACATAGATGACGTTTATTGAATTAGCTACAATTATCGGTTATTTTTGGCAACTGATAAAAATAAGTAATATTGTTGATTTTACCTGAGTGTTTCCAGTGTACACTGTGAAGCCATTATTCCTACAGACCGAAGATTCATTCCTGAATCCCACAGCTCAGAATTATTCAGGTCCAGCTCTCTAAGACTAGAGGATTGGGAGCTGAGAACTGAGGACAGAGCTTCACAGCTTCCCTCGGAGAACTTACAACCCATTAGCCTATTTAAAAAAACAAAAACAAAACAAACAAACAAACAAAAAAAAAACCCACAAGAAAACAAACACTAGTGTTAAAGTGTTGTCACCATGGCGTTATTGTCAATATTCAATCCTGTTTTTTTAAGATGCAACAATGATTGGATAAACTTTAATCAACTTATTGATTAATTCTGAAAAATAAAATGTTACTTGATCTGACCTCAGAGTAATCAGCTTGCAGTTTAGATTCTGCAGTCCAGCAGAAAGAGTTTCAGAGCTGCTCTCCGAGAGGTTACTGAAACTCAGTCTGAAAATTATAACATGAACAATGAAACACTTGTTTTACTAATAAACTACTACATTTAGCAATGTGTTTTAAAATAATCTTTAATGCCTAGGATTAAACAGGTTAGAAATGTGACAGTTTAACTTAGAGATAATGAGAAATACTAATAGACACGTATGAGTGGCATTTTTAACTGTTTTATTTGTCAGCTGAACAAGGGAGAAAAAACAAAAAAACAAAACAAAAAACTGAATATACTGACCTTAGAGTATTCAGTTTACAACATGAACTCCCCAAAGCTGCAGACAGAAGCTTTACACCTGAATCGTCCAAGCTGTTGATCCTAAGGTCCAGCTCTCTCAGACTAGAGGACTTGTAGCTGAGTACTGAAGTCAGAGCTACACAGCCTGCCTCTGACAGCTCACAGACACTCAGCCTACAAAATAAATAAGCATGAAATCTGTGTCATTTGTTAAACAGAGAAGGAGGAAAAATAAATAAACTCCCCCCCCCCCGCCGCACACACACACACTGCAGGGACACTACAACTTATTGATTAACTAAAAGTTTCAAAATGTAAGCTGAAGGAAAGGAACAAAACATAGCACAGGAACCATAGAAACAACCAAAAAATGCAAAAGTAACCGTAAACAATGAATGTTACTGAGCAGCACACTATATGCATAATGTGTTTAGAGGCATCAGCCAACCAAGATAGTGTGTTTCTGGGATTACTTGTTCGTACATCCTACATCATACATGTGTCTGAGAGCACTTGTATTCATGTAAATGTCTTAAATTGGGTGTGGCGAGGAACAGCCCTGCCACATAGGACATGAAGCAGGCATGGAGGAGACTCGGGCACCAGAGAGCCAGAGGCCCTTCCTCCGCAGAGCTCAAGAACCCAAGGAGGACCACAATCACACCACCCACCTAGAAAAGTCACCCAGCAGCACAAGTCACAGGAGGCCGCAGAGACGAGCCCGCAGGCTCCACTGGCAGCTGGCCAGGCCAGAGCAGACTGAGCCCTGGGCCAAGAGAACCGAGGACCCTCCACACCCCAGAATAGGGAACCCCGTTCCCCGAAACCCACTAATGGCATGGTGTCGAGGCCCGGGCCCATCTAAATTGGGTACCCTGTGCATGCACTCACCCACCCACAACCTGGCAACACACCAGCCAGGACCCAAGCCCCCCAGAAGTCCAAGTCCCCAAGCCCACCCAGGACTCACCAAGGAACCGCACAGCTACCAGGCATAGGACTGACATAGGAGCCTGAAAGGATCTTATTTTGGTATACCGTATTTTTGCGTCTATAAGGCGCACATAAAAGCCTTAGATTTTCTTTGAAAAGTGCAGTGCGCCCTGTGTGTGTTGTAAGGAGGACGCAGTAGAGAACACCATGAGAATGCTAAAGGGTGAAGTGTGGGCGTTGATTGTATATACCGGTACAATCGCACATACTTGTATAAAAGAACAGGTATGTGCGTTATGCAGAACATCGTTGTTTTAACAACCCTAAAAATGGAGAAAAGAGACACGAGACACGCTTATGAAGCACAGTTTAAACTGAAGGCCATCAGCTACGCGGAGGAACACGGAAATCGAGCAGCCGCGAGAGAATTTAAAATAATGAATTGATGGTTCGCAAGTGGAGGAAGCTGGAAAACAAGCTCCGACAGGTCAAGATAACGCAGCGGAGTTTCTGCGGACATAAGGCGAGGTGGCCTGAGTTAGAGGAAAGACTCGAGCAGTGGATCATCGAGCAAAGAACGAGTGGGAGAAGCATTTCGACGGTCACCATTCGACTAAAAGCAGTTTCGCTAGCAGAAGAAATGAAAATTGAACATTTCCAAGGAGGCCGGTCTTGGTGTTTGTTTCATGAAACGGTGCCATTTTTCACCCGGACCAGGACTATGGTAGCGCAGCAACTTCCAGCGGATTATAATGAAAAGCTGGCCATCTCCCGCTCCTACTGCAGAAAACACATCGCCGACAAACACATCCAGCCCAGCCACATCACTAACATGGACGAGGTGCCGCTCACTTTCGACATCCCGGTGAGTCACACTGTGGAGAAGAAGGGGACCAGCACGGTAGCGATACGCACAACGGGGCACGAAAAGTCTTCTTTTACTGTTGTGCTTGGCTGCCATGCTAATGGACAGAAACTGCCGCCTATGGTGATTTTTAAGAGAAAGACTTTGCCTAAATAGAAGTTTACAGCAGGAATCATCATTAAGGCAAATGAAAAGGGCTGGATGGATGAGGAAATGATGAAAGAGTGGCGGAGGGAAGTGTATGTAAGGAGACCAGGTGGTATTTTCCACGCATCACCATCGCTGTTGATCTGTGACTCTATGCATCTCACAGCCGATGTGAAAAAACAAGTGAAGCAAATGAACTGTGAGCTTGCTGTCATTCCGGGAGGCCTGACAAAGGAACTCTACCCGCTGGACATCGGTGTGAACCGGCCATTCAAAGTAAGGCTGCGAGCGGCGTGGGAGTGATGGATGACCAATGGAGACCACAGTTTCACTAAGAATGGAAGGCAGCGCCGGGTGAGTTACGCCACAATTTGCGAATGGATTGTAGATGCTTGGGCTAACATGTCTGCTGGCACTGTTGTTTGAGCTTTCGCAAAAGCCAGCATCATTTCCGAGGAGCCGCACGGCATGGAAAGTGACTCTGACGGTGAAGAAAGTGAACCTGAAATGTTCGATGGAGATTTAGCGCAGCTGTTCAATTCAGACACAGAGGATGAGGACTTCGATGGGTTTGATTGATGACGATTACCAGTAATAAAAATGTGAGTAACAAACTCAGTTTTGCTCCCGCTTTATTTTTAAATACGCATACTTGTATGCGCGCTATAATCAGGTGTGCCTTATGTGTGTGTTAAATACAGTAATGGCACACATAACTGAGACTGCGCCTTTTAGTACGGTGCGTCTTGTGGTTGTGAAAATACGGTAATGGATACTGGATGTGCTTGATGTTGCCAGCTGATCTGGATATAATGCACCAGATCAGGTTGAAGAGAAATAATAATGTTCCACCAAGAACACTTCTTATGAAATTTCTCAACCCAGTCTTGACTAGGTGGTGATGGAGGTGATACTGTGCAAAGGAGGTAACACCTCGAATCTGATGAAACACCTGGCGACGCATAGCGGGTTTTTTTTAAAGCAGCGAAATACACCGTATTTGACAGCTTGCTGCAAGACCTCACAACAAGCACATCTACTGAGGGTGTGGTGCCTGTTATCAGACCCAGAGTTAGCAACATCCCCCAAGAAACTGAAGAGGAGAGTCCTGACCCCTAGCCCTGCCATTGTAGCAGAAATGGCAATGGATGATGATGCAGCAGCAGCCGTTCTTCTCTGGGCGAGTAGCTTAATGTCGTTTGTGTTTAATTTCTGTTGAGTAGGCTAACCACGTTATTACATTAATGCATGTAAGGTGAACTAGCAAACACTGTCGTAGTTACATGCGGCTTTCTTCTTGTTTGATGGCAGATACTCCCTTCATGTTATATCAACAGAAAAGGCTAACTTGGTTATCATTTTGCAGAAAAATAGAGACTGCTAAAAATAAAAACGTAAGAGGTTTTAGCACAAAGTTTGTGTTCTCCATTCTTTAAGCACCGGTTCAAGCACCGTTTAAGAACCGGCACAGTTTCAAAAGTACTGGTTTGGCACCGGTATTGGATAAAACCTAAACGATACTCATTCCTAGTAATAGGACACTGGATTAGTCCATGAGTTTTTGGTATAAAGTAAACCATTTTGGATGGTACTTTGGTAAGTGTTACACCGACAGACATCTCAGAAATGCTGATACTGTCTGTTGCTTTGAATTTTTAAGAGAATCATATACTTGATTTAGTGCCGATGATCATTGCACTTTAAAGTTGTGGGGGTTTTTTGTTGTTTTTTTTTTTTTTTAGAATAAATATTTAGAAAATAAAAGCCTGATCACAAATTTCCTTACAAAGCTTTGTTGGAGACTTTGATCACTGGCAGCAGCCCCACAAGAGCCCCTTCTGAAGCAGAGTATTTCTTCAGGTCAAACACATCCAGATCTTCTTCTGATGACAGTAACATGAAAACCAGAGCTGACCAATGAGCAGGAGACACTTCATCTGTGGAGAGACTTCCTGATCTCAGGGACTGTTGGACCTGCTCCACTAGAGAATGATCAGTCAATTCATTCAGACAGTGGAACAGATTGATGCTTTTCTCTGCAGACAGATTCTCATTGAGTTTCTTCTTGATGTACTGGATTGTTTCCTGATTGGTCTGTGAGCAACTTCCTGTCTGTGTCAGCAGGCCTCGTAGGAGAGTCTGATTGGTCTGTAGTGAAAGACCAAGGAGGAAGCGGAGGTACAAGTCCAGGTGTCCATTTGGACTCCTTAAAGCCTTATCCACAGCACTCTGGTAGACATGTTGTTTTTTCATCAGATTGACTTCAGAGTTGATGAAGGTCAGATGGACATGAAGAGCAGCCAGGAACTCCTGAACACTCAGATGGATGAAGCAGAACACCTTGTCCTGGTACATTCCTCTCTCCTCTTTAAAGATCTGTGTGAACACTCCTGAGTACACTGAGGCTGCTCTGATATCGATGCCACACTCTGTCAGGTCTGATTCATAGAAGATCAGGTTTCCTTTCTGCAGCTCATCAAAGGCCAGTTTTCCCAGAGACTCAATCATCTTCCTGCTCTCTGGACTCCAGTGTGGATCTGTCTCAGCTCCTCCATCATACTTGACCTTCTTCACTTTGGCTTGAACCACCAGGAAGTGGATGTACATCTCAGTCAGGGTCTTGGGCAGCTGCCCTCCCTCTCTGGTTTTCAGCTCATCCTCCAGAACTGTAGCAGTGATCCAGCAGAAGACTGGGATGTGGCACATGATGTGGAGGCTTCGTGATGTCTTGATGTGGGAGATGATCCTGCTGGCCTGCTTCTTAT